GGCCTGGATCTGGCATGGAAGCCTGCTCAGGAGGGACCTGCATTTCCATGAAGCAGAGACTTCCCCTGAGGCCATGTACAGGAAACTGGACCTACATTGGATCTGTCAAGATAAGGCATTCTAGATTGACTCGTGGTAATTAAGAAAACCATTGTACCTAGTCTCCAGTTAATTCACTGAACCTGCTGAACTCATGTAGCCAGAATATGGCTGGGAGACATGATGTACATATTCACCTGCTGACCCTGCAGAGAGGCACAAGTCCTTAGCAATTTGGTGGCCCCTATGTCCAAACCTTTTTTCATGGAGATTTCTGCACAGCAGTAAGTCCCCTTTCCTAGCCCCCAAGCTGACTAGGAGCAGCCATCTGAAAGGAATGGTACTGATCACCAGAAGATTCTGACAGGTGCTTGTATCTTACCAGGAAGGTCCACAGGGCACCTGAGCAGAGTCTCTTAACGAAGAACGTTTTGCCCAGCAGCATCTATTCCTTCAAGCCCAACCAGTATAAAGTAATTGTGATCCTAGGGAAAAGCCACACCAGTCAGGACAGCCAGAGCAGCAGTAGTTACAGTCCCAGCAGAATCCCTAAAGCCACTCACCCACTCAAAGACATAACAGCCTGCATAAGAGACTGGTATTTTCCTGGAGCCTTCTGGAGTCCCAGATACCAAGAGCCCACAGCCAGAGTCATTCTGCAGAGCATGTGCCTTCCATTCAGTATCTAGGGAAAGAGGACACAGCAGCAGGGGCTTCAGAGTCCCACATTGCAGATTAGACCCACTACAATCCTACCTTTCTATAGGAAATAGGGACCTAGACAATATTAGGGTCGGGAACAGCAGTGAGAGTATCCAGCAGCCAAGACATCTAGATCCAGGCACAGCACTTCACCAAGTCCTTGATGGCTGTGTCATATAAACATCCCCCAGATTATGCAAGATGCACAGAACTTCAGTAAAGTACAACAGCACTGCACATCAAAATCTCTTCCTTTACTCTCCTTCCAGGCACCTCTGCGTCTGGGCAAAGATATGGCTAAAAATGCCTCTTGATATTGCCTCACCCCATGTAGTCAGCGCAAATGAAACATTCCCTTCCCAGCCTTGTGGTAAGGTGAGCTGTAAGCTTTTCTGGCCACAAGTCAGCAGGGTAGGATCAGAAAAAACACTGATAGGAGTCCCCAGAACCAAAGCCAGGGGGCCAAGAAACACCCAGAAGAGCATAGCTCCTGATGCAGCCCAAGACCACCCTACAACAACCATCCTGCTCTCTTGCTAGGCTCTTAGCCTAGTCCTTTTAAATTGTGAAGCCAGCTGGGACCAGAAATTCCCAGGTGGACACAGCCCAGCAGTTTATCACCTTCCATTGCCCTCACCTGAACTCAGCAGAGTCTGCTGGTGCTCTTTGAAGAAAAACAAAGGGCAAGAGTTGAACTAATGTCAAGAGATGGGTCTGTATTCATACTGTAGAGCCCCAGGAGGGTCTTCAAAGCTTCTTTCCTACCCTGAGTTCCTCCCACAGCTGGAACACATAGGAAATCTGGTTGCTTCTCCCCATGCACCCTATTGCTGCTCTAATTGCTCAATACATGGCATGAGTGCAAGAAACAGTGACAATGCTC